ACCATCACAGCTGTGACATCCTCCAAGCCAACACCAACCTCCAGCCATGAGCATGCAGTGCTCCTCCATGGCCATGCACCCCAAATCCCATCCTGCTGCTCCCCCCTTACCCTCCAGCTCCCCACCAGGGGCTGAGATCTTGGACATGCAGAGGTAGGCGGTGCCGATGATGTCGTTGTGTGTCAGACGGTCCCTGCAACACAACCCATGACACCATCACACCAGGGACCAGGGGTTTGCCCACCTCACTCCTCCAGCTCAGCTTTCCCATCCCTGCTCACCAGTCGGTCACCCGGATCCTCATCTTCTCACACATGGAAGGGAACTGGGAAAAGAGGAGAGGAGTGGTGAGTGGTGGCCATGGGGTTGGGTGGGGAACTGGGGAGCAGCCACACTCACCATTGCTGGCAGCGTCAGGCACTGGTTCCACTGGGGATTGGCATTCTTCTCCAGGATCCTTGAGTAGAGCTGAAGGTGTGAGATGGGAGATGAAGAGTCAGTGCTGCCTGCAACTCACGGCTGCGTTCTAGTGTTTGTCCATCTGTCCAACCAAGGCCCAAGGGACAGGACAAGAGGAAATGGGCTCCAGTTGTGGCCAGGGCAGTTGAGATGGGATGTGAGGAAGAATTTCTTTGCTGCAAGGGTTCTGAGGCATTGGAAGGGGTTGCCCAGGGCAGTGGTGGAGTCCCCATCCCTGGAGGGATTGAAGAGTCGTGTAGACACAGTGCTGAGGGACATGGGTCAGTCATAGGGGATTTGCTAGTTAGTTGGACTCGATGATCTCAGAGGGCTTTTCCAATCCAATTCTGGGATTCTGTGAAAGCCATACACCACGTCCATGGAGCTGGGAAGCCTCAGATCCCCCAAAACACAACCACCATTTGATGGGTGACCTGGTGGGGCTCTGCATCACCTGGATAAACCCCTCCATGCAGGAGGCAGAGGATGCTATGGGCTTCTCATGGATCTCACCCCCCTGGGACCACCAGAAACTCACCCCCTTCCCACTGTGTTTGCTCAAGATCATGTCCCCAGTCTCTGGTCCCCCTGGCCAATGTCCCCAGGGGAAGATCTATGGGTTGGGGAGGTTCTCAGCCCTTAAGTGCTGCTGTGCATCAAAAGAGAAGTGATGGGCACATCGCTTGGTGAGGGGACACAGCAGCAAAGGGAGGGGGACAGGGCTCTGCAAAACCACCAGAGTCACCTCCATGCCCTGGTTGGTCATGGGGGGACATTTGGTGGCATGGGGACAGCACCAAGAGCAGCACAACCTTCTGCTGCTGCACCTTCCCCTTCCCTCAGGAGCTCTGTCTCTCCATCTCCATTTTTAATGCAACAGCACCACAAAGAACCCAACAAAGAAATTGCCACGTCCAGCAGCACCTCTGAGCTCCAAACATGCCACACACATGGGGACAGGGCTGGGGACATCAGCTGAGCTGCTCTCAACCCCCAGCTTCAGGACATCACAATGCAAATGGAGAAGATGAGGTGGGACAAGGACTGATGGGACCTTTGTAAATGGTCCAGCAAAGCAAAGGACCAAATGTTCTCCATGCTTGGTTCCTGTCCCATGCTCTGGCCACTCACCATCTTGCCTGCGAAGCTGACTTCCACGAAGGGATCAACCAAGTTCTTCTTGTTGCTCTCAAAGCCAAAGATCTGCCTGACGTTGTCCATGACAGCATCATCCACTGGAAGGGGAAGGAGATGTTGAAAGCTCATGGAAGTATCCAGATGGCTCTCCGAGTGGGTTGTACATCTCCATTGAGCCAGGTTGGGAGGAGTAACAGGGTAAAACCAGTTTGTACCAGTAAGAGACTTATCTCTCAAGTACTTTACAACTGACAAATATCTGTGAGGTCTTTGGACCAAGATTATGGGTCAAGTTTCCTTCTCTGTGTCCTTACTCCTCTCCAGCACCTTGCCAAGGGCTTGACCCGGTGTGCTCCAGCCCAGCAAAAGAGACACTTACTCTGGGGTAGATCTTCAGCTTTGAAGATCTTCAGGCAGAAGTGAGCCCCTCTCAAGGTGACCCCAGTGGGGCGCAGGAGGTTGCCCTCGATGTCTTCTTTGTCTTCAGAGATCTCCTTCTTCTCCAGCTAAAGGACAAGAAGAAAACACAACCGAGATCCCAAAAGTCCTGAAATGACCATGAAAACCCCCAAAATCCAGCACCTTGTCCCCAAAGTGGAGGAAGATCTGCAGCTTTTCTGGGAACAGGCACAGGGTTTGATGGCCCAGGGCAGTGGAGCACCACAGGTGGAAGGTCCCCACACCATGGCCAGGGTGATACTCACAGGAGCTTCATCTCCAGGCCCCAGCACAAACAGGCTGACTTTCAGATAACCCTTGGCCCCCGCAGAGAAGTCCTCTGGGTCAGAGAGCAAGAGCCATTTTCTGAGGAAAGCATGTTCTAGGGGAGAAAAGAGACTGAGATCCACGGGCTGGTCCTCAAATGTGTGGGGAGATGGTTTCAAGGTGCTGCTGGGTGTTTTTTTAATAATAAATCCTGTGTTTCATAGAA